CCAGTAGCTTCTGCAGATTTAAGTAGGGCTTGTTGGACTGCATCCCAATGCTAATGAAGAGGACATGTAGCAGATGAGAAGCTTGAGTGCCCGAACTGCAATAGCCTAATCACATCATGATGTATATGGGTGGATGCACATGGTAAGGGCTACCCCAGTGACCGAAAAGAGATTTGCAAAAGGAGGCACAGCCTGCAGTCCTTGCCACTATAAATCTTCCTCAGAGTTTCATAGGAGGAGTGGGATGAAAATTGTGAAATCTGTCAGCATATTCTCTAATAGCAAGAGGAAGGTTATTTATAAAATTTAAGCAGAAGCTTAAGTAACCTGGCTGTCAGGGAAAATATCTGAATAGCTGTACTTGATGTCGCTGGGAACTGGCCGTTATTAAAGAGCTGATCCCGAGCTCTCACTATTCTTCATTCGCAGGGTGTATGTAGAGGTATTTGAAAGACAGTGGAGCAGGGCAATTGGTGGAAGCTTCCCAGGATGGTCATGAGCACACAAGGAGGCCTTGCAGGCTTGAGCTGTGGGGAGGCTCGGAAGCAGAAGCAGAACCAGTGGACAAAAGCGCTTTCCTCTCGCTGTGGCTAAGCAGAGACAGCAGCCTCCCGCTCTGGGCGTCGCTTATGTATGTGGGGGGATTTGCTCTTGTGGGGGTTTCGTGCCCTCATTGAAAGCACAAGAAGGGAGACAAAATCATGAAGGGGTGCTGCTCCTTCATAGAGCTATAAACTACTATTTTAACATCATTGAGACTTAACAGATGAGAGTGCTCTATTGCCTGGCTCATATTTTAGTCACTGCAAAGGACAACTGGCAGATTCAGGTTTTGTTCTGAAGTAAGAATTCGGACAACAGTGCTCAAGAGCAGTACTTACATGAGAAATTATTTTTTTATTAGCAAAACAAGAGCCAGAATCTCCAGACAACTTTGTTCGGCAGAAACACATTGTTATTCTCTTCGGCGCATAAAGAATGATCAGGCTTGTATTGTCACAATATTATTGACATGTGCTCCTGCTTAAGATGCTTTGTGATACAAACATTTCATCGTGCAGTGTCTAATCTGCCGTGTCCCACAGAAAAAGAAATAAACAGAGATGAAATCATAGCCTAGGCAGCATTGATAGTAGGTGTAAGAAAAGGTAGTGTGCTGAAATAATTCATGCCTTTCTAGAAGTGAAACAGAATATTTTTGTTGCTAAAAATACTTAACAATTGAAAAAATGGTATCACAAGTGTGTTGTAAAACAAAGGACATAGAGCACGTTCATTTATAAAATATTTTAATTTTTAAATGTAGGTGTCATTTAATCTCACATCTCGGTGAAATCTCGATGAAGTATACTAACAATGGGAACAGTGGCAAGGTTTTTATATAAACCCACACATAACAAGACTTGCTCAAATACGGTCATAGAATCATAGAATCATAGAATCATTAAAGCTATACTAACGATGGGAACAGTGGCAAGGTTTTTATGTAAACCCACACATAACAAGACTTCCTCAAATACAGTCTTAGTGTTTTGTTATGCCAACAGCAAATACATTAGCCTGTAGTCCCCTGTGGCTTGGTGGACCCTCAGAACAGTGTTTAGACCTGTCCCCTCAGGTCTTAGTGTTTTGTTATGCCAACAACAAATACATTAGCCTGTAGTCCCCTGTGGCTTGGTGGAAACAATGCTATCAGATAAAGTTTTAATTACATCAAAGTCCCTTGTCTAGAAAATTTAGACTGCTGTTTATTTCACACCTTTCTTCTGAGAGATAATTGTTAAATACCAAAACAATTTTGTAAGTGAATGGTTTCCATGTTAAATTTGATTTTTCTGTTAGCAGTACTCCTGTTTTATGTTTTCACTTGACAATTACTTGGGCTTAATTCAGTAATAGAGGAACCATGCTCTTTCCACTTACTGCTAATGTCTGTAATAAATATAACGTGGTTGTATAGGCAAAATAATCTGGCACTGCATGGCTTTATAGTAGTTGAAGACACTTCTCTGTATAGTGAGTTAATCATCGATCTCAGCAACTTTTAGAGAGTATAATTAAAGAACCATAGGTTGGATCAAAGAGGCAGGGGATGAGTTTGCCCAAATTAGGCTGTGAGTGGAAAAAGTAACTCCACTAAAAGTAAGAGCATTTCAGATGTCAAGTAAGACATTTACCTGGCCAAAATAATGTATTAATGGAATGTACACAGTTGTCAAAATCCCTACTTTAAGTAATGGAAAAATACCCACTCTTCAACAGTCACAAGGAGTACAAACCTTTCAAATTGATACTTGAATCTGTAGAATAACAATAGAAAAATGGAATGTAGAGCCAATCACCCAGGTCTTGTCAACCAGAAGTAACATGAATAGTTATGGGCAGGCACTGTGAAAATTAAGATTCAGGAATTGATTTGGTATGCCAAGCTGTCCTCTAATCTGTGTTCTTATTAAGGTGAAATATTTAGGTCTCAAGAATGAAGAGTTTTCCTGCTTTGATTGCTACAGTACAACTGACAGTTAATCTGGAAAAAACCCAAAGTGTTAATCCTCAAGGGAGCTTCTCACCTGGGTCTGCTTGATGTAAATTAGATGCACTAATACGAGTCTGAAAAAATTTATGACAGAGTGGATAGCTGCCCACAGAGTAATGTTTAATAACCAAGAAAGATGAGGGAATGAATATTGGCTTTAGAAAAACTCAATTTAGCTAGAAAGAAAGTCTATTCTTCAATGGACAATGTTTATGGCCTATCAAAGGACTAGATGGAGAGACGGTATCTAAAATGGGTATTAAACTTTTGAAGAAAGTTATTAGAAGTTATTGGGTTAATCGGTGGACTGCCTTTTAGCCCTTGGCTAGGTGTAGTTTTCATTGCTAAAAATGGTGGTCTATATCTCCCTGAGAATGTAGTGAAGATAATGCAATTAGTTTTGCTGATGCATGCACATGCCAAGGTCAAACTCAAGACAGATGATTTAGGTTTGACCTCTGTGAATTTCCACAGGGTAGAACTAGTCTGAACTGTGTTTTTACCTCAGGGAAACCGATGTGTGTTATTAGCAGAGGAAAGTATCTTACAAGAATCCAAAACCATAGCCTAGGCTTGTATTGGAAGATACTGGTTTGACTTGTGTTTTTCCAGAATATTTGTGTAATTTTAGAAATCCTATAGTAGGTACAGTTAACACATCCTTATAATAGTTGTATGGATTTTCAATTTTCAAATATTGGGTTTTGCTCATTGAATCACTATAATTATATCTGAAGAAAAAAGGGTTTCCTCATGTAAACTACACCAATAATAATAAGATATGACAGAATAATTGTATTAGACAATGTACAGCTGGTCAGTCCCCCAATAAGCACAACTTAATGCAGTACTGAGCCTATTACAAACAGTGCTGGCAGCCCTGCTCCAAAGAGCAGTCAAGGATCAGGGAAGTTGTTTGCTTAGCATCTCTGAATAAACAACCCCCCCTCCCTTTCACAGTGTTTTACCACAGACGTGTGGCAAAAACAATTCACTCGGGACCTTTGGATATGTTTTAGTAGGCACATGATGAAATGGACCGTGTGGGTCATCAAGTTCAGCTTCCCACAGTCAACTTGAGGTAGAAATTTAGTTCAGAACTGTCAGACAAAATAAATTTTTTTCAGAAATCATAGGTCACTAATCCTTTACAATTACCTTACAACAATCTAAAAAAAAAAAAAATAATTGTTTCCTCAAGTGTTCTTCCTTCTTCTTCCAGGAGGAAATAGTCACTTATAGCCAGTTTTCTGTTTTATTTTGAAACTTTGCATTCAAACCCCATTTTTCTCCAAGCTGAACTTGATTATGCCATAATAGTTTTGTTAGTAAAATTTACTTTTTTTTTTTCAATTCACATACCAATAACATGATTATTGTCAGTATAATTGAAGTGCTATGCTTAAATTATGGAACAGAGTATAATATAAAACATGATATTCCCTCATATGTATATAGAATGATATGTTTGGATGCAATGTTACTGCAACAATTGGTGACCCAAATTACTTTCACAGTCATTATGAGATACTGCATATACTGTGTAGCGTCAGATGCCAAGAAGCATAAATATAATTCTATTGTGTAAACAACTGGAAGTTTCCAGTCTCGTTACTGTGTAATAAGTTTTATGTTGTTTTGGGCAAGGAAATAAAGTTAGATTTACTGAGCTTAGGTTAGAATAATAGATAAGCAACCATGTTAAAAAAAAAATTAAGTTATCCATGAGGAACAATAATAGAGCATTGTTAAAGACTATATTAATGAAACAGCCCTATTCTTTATAAATTGTTATGTTCCAAATTCTTCCTTTTGTGCCACCTGAAGTTTTCTTAAGTTTTCATTCAGGATATGGCTATCCTGTTATAAAACATTGTAGCCCTATTGGCTGATACTCCATCCCTAGCAAACATACTTTGTCCTTCAACCCTTTTTCAAGACTAAAAATTGCTGAAGAGCATCAGACAGTGACATCGTTGTGGGTGGTTAAGTGGTATCCAGAACTCAAATATGTTTCTAAATTTTATGTCTGTCCCTTTTTTTAAAATATATGCTGCTGATACAACTTTATAGCTTATACAATATTCAGCTACTTAAAATGGCATTGCAAGTTTTTTAATGTCTGAGTTATAGGCTATATCTGTAGGAGAATTGATAATGTGAAAAGTGGTATAACAGGTGTGGATAACATGGTGCAACCTTTATAATATTTACAGTTGTCTGAAAGATATTTTTTTTTTCCGAGGTAAGTCCTGATAAATAGAAATTTAAACAGAATCTCAAAAAAGTCAGAAATGTAAAATGTATTCATTCAAGATATAATTGATTGCAAATATTAGGTTCTTTTATAGCTATTCTGGGCTTTCAATGTGATTTTGTGGTAGAATATTGTAGACTTACTAAATTGAATAGAGACATTCATGAAAAAACTGCTGAATTAAACTCCATCCCTTTTTGCTTCCAGCAATTACTTGTCGCAGACAAGATGGAGGACAGGCTGACATCAGTGAGTGCCTTAAATACTCTGGCCCATTGCCATCCTTAACACAGACGTGCCAGATTCCCTGCCAAGATGACTGTCAGTTTACAAACTGGTCAAAGTTTTCTTCCTGTAATGGGGACTGTGGAGGAGTCAGGACAAGAAAACGCACTCTTGTCGGTAAGAGTAACCAGAAAAATAGTGCATCTTTTATTAATTATTGCTACTGTTTTGATTAAAACCTGCGTTGTTCTGAGGTTCCCTTATGACAAGGAAGCAAAGTTTGTCATTGTGGCAGAAAGCAGACCTAATGTCACTGTCATGCTCTATATACTGTTAGTGGAACAAAAAAATAACCCCTCAGGAGAACAAACTCCTGCCACATGTCTCAGACTCTTGATGATGGGGAAGTGGCTAGAGAGAAGATGGGAGAACGTAGGAGGCCAGGGTTTCTTCTAAATGGAGCACACATAGTAAACTGCAAAGCAGACCATTTCTTTTCCTGACAGGCAAGTCAGCATTGTCTGTAGTTCCAGGGAGGTGAAAAATGTAAAGCAGCATAATTAACCAACAAACTGATCCAGTCCAAGGAAATAAAATAAAAAAATCTTTACCTGCATTTTTGTTGAGCCCTGTGTTATCTTTTCACCAAAAGGGGCACAAATGTTTGCTATTTAAAAGGTTTTCATACCATGTTTATTCCCAACCCTGATTCTGCAGCCTGTTTCTGTGCACAAAGAGGTCAGGAAGGTTGCTGGTTTATGGTTTGTCATTTGTACAGAATTATGTCCTTGAGATTATCTATTTGTGCTAAGCATTTAAAAAATACAAGAGACAGACATTAGAGGTTACACTCTCAAGCAATTTCTTGGAGTTACAGCTTAAAATATGAAAATACTTTGTCAAAAGCTTCTTTTTTTTTCTTGAACTTTATTTTACTGATAGTTTTCAGGCAAATGTTGGACAATTTAGTGAATGTTGAAAGGCATGTAACTCAGAAACACTGATTGGCTTAATGGTGTAAAGAGCCAAAGACCTTGGGGTCTTCAACATGATGTAGGTAATGTGAGGCACTCAGAGAATTCCTGGGGTAGGACATCTCTTCACATCACTCTCAAATCACTTTCACTCCCAAATAAGGTTAAACAAGTTTAATTCTACTAAGACATGATACTAGGTTTAGAAAACTGATAATGAAAACCAGAGTGGCCACAGACCCTATTAATTATTTGCATTTTCTTGATTTATGTGTGTGTTCTCAGCTAAGAGTTTAGGGAGCAGGTCTGCAATTTGTTTTGATTCCGCAGCAACTATGATTTCATGCACAAGCTGTATCTTGCCAGCATTGTCTAACCAGACTGAATTCTCACCAGATTGAATTGGGTCTGTTTTCTTTGGTTTTGGGTTTTTTTTTTTACACTGAATGGTAATTGAGAAAAAAAAATCTTGTTGAAATTCCCCTGGAGCTTTCAATAGAAAACCTTTTAATAGAAAATCCACTGAAATTGGATTTTTTTTGGTTTTTTGCGTTTTTTTTTAAATTGGTGACAGACCAATCAACAATCATCTCTCCTTAACAGGACCAGGTGTTAACCCACTTGCATTCCTCTTCCTACTTCTGGTCTTGGCTACACCAGGACTTCCCTCTCAGATGGTGTTTTAGTGCATTAGAATTACTATGGCAGCTGAGTGCTTTTCAGCCTCTTGCTATAGATCATAATTTTCAGCCTTAAGTTTTGGTTTACCTCTTTTGAACTTCTTAGCTGCAGTCTTGTATTTATTATTAAGCCAGTCCTTTCCCTGGCTGAATGTTTGCTCTCCAAGTTCTTTGTGTTCTCCGTTCTTCCATTCCTTCATCCAGCATCTCAGATCACCACATGAGGCAATACGTTGCTTAATTTTCTGCCTTATTTCTTGACACAACTAAGAATGTTTTTACTTTGTGACCCTTGAAACCTCTTGAGGTTTTAGTTAACAGAATAAAAAGTTTTTCCAGTGATGTCCAACCCCTTACCACAAACTTTTCCTTGTTCCACGTGATGGACACCCTTCCACTTTGAAACATTTTTTTTTCTTCAGCTCCTTTTTACTCTGTTTTTTTTTATTTCTTCTGCATGAAATGAAGAGCAAAACACATGCTCTGCTTCTAAGTTATAACTGAAACCTCAAGAGGGAGACTTGGCCTCTGTCACAGCACTATTTGCTAATTAGTCTGTATTGTCTGTGGTGGAGGAAAGCTAGCTAAGGGGGGTGCCCATTAGCAGCCTCAGAAAGAATGTGATAGGATCCAAACCCTATCCCATGCTCCATCCCCCTGTAAAACAGAAGACCTGTGGAAAATAAATAATTCATGATCTTCAAGAAGGCTCACTGTGGCTGTCTTATAACTCCAGTGAACTTTATGCCAGGTTTGCTTCCACAAGAGAAAAAAAACCCTGACTAACATTTTTTTAAATTTTAAAAACAAAGCAAGAAAGAACAGATTCTCTTACCATACTATTAACACTTTGAGATACTTCCCTGTCCTGGGTTAAGTTACCCCTTCAAATTTGCTGAGACTGTGATACGTGCTGTGGTGTATTCTCTGTGGCAATGTGCTACCGAGGCTAACACATAAAGCTGACCTGGAGTGAATTCATAATTATTCATGGTGAAAATGAGGAGGAGGAGGAGAAGTGTATTTTTAGTATGAAGTTGTGTTGTCAAGAGAAAGATAAACTTTTCTTCAGGTACCTTTTTTCTATTCTAAATGAAGGCAGTAGTAAATAAAAGCACTAAGGGTGCTGCAAAGTTGTGTCCAGTGCCCTGTTTTAAATAGCAAGGAAAATACTACAGAATATTAATTTACAGTAGTATCTAAGTAACAAGCATTTTTAAAACTACTTTTGCAAAGACTTCTACATTAATATATATGAGCTGTCTAGTATGGAAAGGAAAACCGAGCAAACTTTACCAAAGAGATTAAAAATAGATTTAATGGGAAGTGGAAGGTGAGTGGATGGCTATGCTCCAGTTGGGGAAGGAAAACGCGAAGAGATTTGAAAAGAAACAAATTCACAGAAGGAACTTGTTCTATTAGGGGGGAAGAATGGTAATTATTAACAAATGTATGATAACAGGTAATGAAATTAAAGGATTTCGACATTTCGAAAGAAGGTACTACTGTAGCAAAGATGCATGTTACTTACTTCTACAATTTCCTTCAACTTGAGAAAGTTTTATCCAGAGACAATTTTTTTTATTGGACTGCACACTGCTGACGAAATAGGGGAAAAAGGGTATAATTGTTTAATTGCTAACTTCTTCAAACTGTACTCCCCAAGCATTTTTTCCCAAAGTAAATATAAATATATGGCTTTATTTCAAATGATGTTGCCTTTGTGCAAATTGTAGGCATCCATTACTTAAGAAATTCAAGTCATGAACCTAAATGAATAGAGATTAATGTAACTAGTTTTAGGCACATGTATTTGATTGCCAGCATTTGTTACAGAAGTCTAAATGATATTTTTGAGGAGATGTAAACTGATACAAACTTTCTAAAATAATTATTTCTTCGTTCTAGGAAAAAGTAAGAAAAGGGATAAATGCAAAAATTCTCAGTTGTATCCTCTGATTGAGAATCAGTTTTGTCCGTGTGACAAGTACAGTGCTCAGCCTGTGGGAAATTGGTCAGACTGTATTTTACCAGAGGGTAAGCTGGAAGTATTGCTGGGAATGAAGGTACAAGGAGACATTAAGGAATGTGGACAAGGCTATCGTTACCAGGCCATGGCATGCTATGACCAAAACAATCGTCTTGTGGAAACATCACGATGCAACAGTCACGGTATTTAGAAACCTCTTTTCTTTTATCTGTTTACTTATCTGCTTTATTTCATTTAACATAATATGTGTACAGGTAGAATTAACAGATTAATATTTATTGCTTAGGCTGCATTTTATCCTAAGATACCTTCAAACCCAGCACACGTTTTTGCTGACTTGCAAAATAGTAAACTTAATTTTTACTGATTACTACAGTGCAATATTTAAAAGTAAAATAATGGTAAATTACTAACTAGGTATTTTAATAGATAAAAGTAAAATCTCGTTGTTTTTCCTGATAACTGTACCTGCAAATTTGGGAATAAAGCCATTTAGAAGGGTCAGATCCTCAAAAAGTAAACGGGGACAGCATAGGACTATTTTGGAAAGGCTGAAATTATTTCCACAGATTCTTTAGATAGCTTTAATCTCCTTAAATAGCCTTATCTCTACCATTTGCTCTTCAGCACCTTAACAGGCATGCATTGACCTGAGTTCAACAGCACACAACACTTTCTCTGCGTAATTCTGTCATGTGTAAAACTAGAATGTTTAAAGACTTTATGTTCTTTGTATTCACATTGCTCCTGGAGGGAACAGTGTTCCTTCCTAAAGTGGATGCATCTATAGTGTTAGGATTAAAACCGTCACTTTCTGATTTTCAGTGAGCCAGAAATGTGCTAATTTACATCACTGGAGTTTTTTTGTTCATTTGTTTTCCTGCTTGCAGTACAAAATTGTATCTGAGCTATTGGTATGAAAAGCTGGATGGTAGTCTCAGTACCATTAAAAGGTCAATGTAAGTTTAATTTGTATATGTATTCTACTTTATAATGTTAAATTAAGATAACAGAAATTTCATTTATTTACTTGGATAAAGTTAAAATAGCTAATCAAAGAAATTGAATTACTTAAGGGGATTTTAATTAGCACTATTAATTCCTGTTTAGAGCTATGATAAATTAGAAACTGAGTGTATCAAGCCAAGCTGTAGCATATCTTTGTGATTCCATGGAAAAGTGAGCATTCGGCTTAGTACCTCAAAGCAAAGCCGGAAGATAATTCGGTGAAGAATTTTCTCCCATGTTTATTTTTATTCAAAATAATCTTTTGCTGTAGTTAACTCATGCTGAAAGATAAGTTTGCATAAATACATCTGAATGACAAAGTCTAAATCCTAAACTCGCATGGGACAGGAAATCTCTCTTTCTACTCTGGGAATGTTCTTTAATTCTGTTTTCAGCTGTTTGTTCTCAGTTGAGGTCCGCAAATATTTAGTTTTGTTCTTTTGTGTAGTCTAAAGAGGACATGCTACACTTGCTCAGCCTGACCAGGACCACTTGCCATCTTTGCAGTACCAAAAGACACAGCTACCTCTAATGACCAGCAGTTGTGTGAGCACAGATCTGCCTGGGCTGGGTAGTTGTCCTGAGGGAATTAGAAAGCTCCTCAGAAAGGTGGTAGAGAACACTGAAAAAAGAGTTGTGGAACAATCTGAATTGTTCAGAAGACACTGTTATAAAATACAGAACTGAAACTTTTTCCTATTTCTTTGTTGATTTTTTTTTAACTGTATGTGACACTATGTTAGAAATTAGTATTCTTTCAGCATTAAGTCCAGAGTGACCTTTGAAAAATGGAAAATTATAAAAGAACTCAAGTCCAATGGAAACTAGAGGGACTGATGGCCTGCTGCTAGTCAGTTTTCATTGACTTGAAGAACGGGGACCGTCAGGTTTTGTATCAACAGCCAAGGGAAGACACATGAGGGAAGAAGCTGTCTGTCCAAGAGCAAATTGTAGGTGCTTCATGTGGTAGGTAATGTGCTGCTTGAAGTTGCCTGCAAAAAGAGGTGGGAACTCTTTCTTTGTGTAGAACGAGCATGGACGTAGCTGCTTTCAAGCCCTGGCAGTGCACGTTGAGGTGCAATTCCATTGCAAGAATCAGAGAGACATAAAAGAGGAATAAAAAATGGAAAAAAAGGATATTCTCAACCATCTTTGTTTACTGTGTTATAACTCTTCATGATAGCAATTTCTATCTAATGGACTTTATCAGTGAATGTCGCCTACACTCACAGTGACCACAATGAAGAATAATCTAGCAGAAAAGCTACTAACAGTGTACTGTTGTTATACCTACTATAGCCAGGGCTACCGTTTACATGCTATTAGCACAAGAAGGCTCCAGACACAACCTTCCCAAAACACAATATAGCATTGCTTTGTTTATTTTTTTATTTCTACAGTTCCATCCCATTTTTCTCACGGGAGATTTCAAGTCTCTTGTAGCTCTCTTTGTAAACTGGAAATGTTTATGAGTCATTAGTTATTGTAGGTTGGGAAACCTGAACCCTTTGTTTTTTGGGGTTGTTTTGTTTTGAATTCATTCTCTCTAGATCAGTTTATTAAGGTGTCTGGTTCTCTGATTCCCACCACCGCCCCCCTTCCCCATTTCATTACCTGGTTTTGATAGTGAAGCACAAGACATCTGTATGTGTCTTCTCATCAGTTCCATTTGAGGGAGAGAGTACCTTTATCTTGGTCCATGGTGTAGTCCATGGGCAGATGAAGTTTGGAATTGCCGTTGGACTAGTCCTGCATTCCTTGCACTTCCTAAAATTGTTTGACAGGAATTTCAGGTGTAGAAGGAATGAGGTATCTAACCTGACTTTGATGGTAAGGAATTAAACGGAAGCTAAGTCACTTGAGCTTGTCACTTGTACTGGAGGGCAGCAGAGACACCACCTGTGTGCGGTGTGACCAGGTGGATGATCTGCTCGGCCTGGTGGCAGAGCTGAAGGAGGAAGTGGAGAGGCTAAGGAGTATCTGGGAGTGTGAGAGGGAGATAGATTGGTGGAGCCACACCCTACCATCCCTGAGGCAAAGGCAGCAGATGGAGGCTCCACAAGAAGCAGAGGATCCCCTGTCCTCTTGCCACCAGGCAGAATCATAGAATCATAGAATCATTAAGGTTGGAAGAGACCTCCAAGATCATCGAGTCCAACCATCAACCCAACAACACCATGCCCACTAAACCATGTCCCTAAGCGCCTCATCTACCCGTCTTTTAAATACTTCCAGGGATGGTGACTCAACCACTTCCCTGGGCAGCCTGTTCCAATGTTTAACTACTCTTTCAGTAAAGAAATTTTTCCTTACATCCAATCTAAACCTCCCCTGGCGCAACTTGAGGCCATTTCCTCTCGTCCTTTCGCCAGTTACTTGGGAGAAGAGACCGACACCCACCTCGCTACAACCTCCTTTTAGGTAGTTGTAGAGAGCGATGAGGTCTCCCCTCAGCCTCCTTTTCTCCAGGCTAAACAACCCCAGCTCCCTCAGCCGCTCCTCATAAAACTTGTTCTCCAGACCCCTGACCAGCCTCGTTGCCCTTCTTTGGACACGTTCCAACATCTCAACATCCTTCTTGTAGCGAGGGGCCCAAAACTGAACACAGTATTC